CCAGACTAAGGGCTAGGGAATCTTGAGAGCTGGATGGCCAGGTGGCAGGGAGAGGGTGACACTTATCTCAAGTTTTAGCCATCCTATTTCCTAGGCTGCCCAGCTCTCTGGCTAGAAGACTTCTGCCTTTTCCTAGTTACCCAGAGCTGCCTAGCCACAGAGGAAGGGGCAGAGCTGGATGATTTTCTCCAAGTGGGTGGAGGAAGCTCTTGGACCCCTTTAGCATACAGCCCTCTGCCTCTCTGCCCCTTAAGGCAGGGAGTTGCCTGCAAGCAGTTTTTCTCAACCAGGACCAAGGCCTGGCCAGGGCCCTTGATGGTCCAGCCAGTTGTACCACACCCTCTGGCTGGCTGAATGGAGAGAGGGGAGGGCTGAGATGGGCCAAGGCCTTAGGCTAAGAAAGCCCTCTGCTTCTGGGGCTTATGGGCAGGGGAGAAGGGCTTCTGGCTAGACCCCTTCCCTTCTGGCTCTGACTTTGGCCTGTAGGGATGTGGGACAGTGCTGGAGCCACCAGGACACCTTCCTCCCTGCATTGTGGCCATATCTCTTTCTGCCTCTGGGCTTGCCTGTTAATCCAGAAAGGGCAGGGCCTGGCTGTGCCCCATGTGGCTGTCTGCCGCTTGTCAGGAAAACGGCAATCATTGTCCTAACAAGCCATCGCCCTTGGATGGCACTGCATGTTTTATGGATTTTTTTGGCTTTATGGGGCTCACCCACATCCTCTGCCTGGACCTGAGGAGCAATCCCAGATGGGGAAAGGAGGGCAGGGTGGCAGCCAGACTCAAACACCAGCCTGCTCTTGTGGCAAGCTCTGCCTCTGGTCTGTTAGGTTGTGGCATCTTCCTTGGGTCTCAGAGGGAGGCTATCTCAGCCTAGACCATCTCCTCTACCACCCTGTGACACTAGAAGCCGTGTGCTGACCCTTTCTACGGCGTCCCTGGACACCCTATTTTCTAGTGCAGGAAGCTGAGGCTGACAGAGTCCCTGCGATTCATCCTGGGTGATGGGCCAACTTTTCCTCCCAGAGGTTTTTATAGTCTGTCCTCGGGGGCCTCATGTGTCCTTATAGCCTCTCCTCCCTGCAGCTGCAAGCATGTCCCTCATTCCTCCCTCTGTCTACCTCTAAGCTTCTCATTGTACTAAGGACTCTGAGGCCCTCAGAGAAGGTTGTCCATGCTTTTGAGGCTACTCAGCCCAGTGTACTCCAGGCCCAGCCTTCTTCCATCAGAGCCAGACGAGGGGGAAGGGCATCCAGAACTGCCTGGAGGGAGAATGGAGATCAGAGGTCTGGAACCACCGTCTGTCTTCCAGGTCCACCGTGGGAGGGTTTAAGGTTTCGCAGGTAGACAGGACCACAAACCCAGGCATGAGCCTGGATGTTTTCTTGACAGCCTGGAAGGCCTTACTTGCCTCCTTCCTGCCCGCTGTGCTGTGGGAAAAGGGACTTTTCCTTAGGCTTTGGGGGAAGGGCTGGACTTGGGGGTGTAGGGAGGGGAATTTGGGAAGGTTAGCTAGAATGTCAAATTCTGTTTCTTTTAGTAGGGCGGGGGGAGAAGGGAGTCTTGGAGTGCTATGGGACTTCCTGCCTGCCTCCCTCACATAGCCCTCCAACTGGAATGCAAGTCCCTCTCTGTTCTACCCCTACTCCTGGCCACGGCTGGGGCCCCTCCCTGGGATGTCTGACAAAACTGACCAGGAAAAATGACAGCTACACTCTGAGCTGGGAAAATGAGAGGGGAGACAGCGGGATGGAGGCCGGGAGAAGCCCCTACCCTCCCTGGACCCTGGCTGTCTCTGTTGGAATAGCAGACCCCTGCTGGAGTTGCTGGGTCGGGTATCAGGATCTACTCAGTGCTGCTCCCTATGACCACCAGGGGGCGCTTCTGAACCCTGACCCTATTCTTGGTCTTGTCCTTTTCCTCTTGCCTTTCACCTAGTCTGCCTGTCTTTGATTTCAAAACAGTCTTAAGCTTCAGGAAGGTTACAAATACTGAGCAGAGCTCTTTCTCTCCTGACTTTGGGACAGTGAGTTGCTGACCTCTATGCCACAATGAATACATCCCTGATCTTACAAGGACTTAGGTTTCATGGGGCCCAGAAGTCAGTATCCGAGGTTGACAACATGAAGATGTCACTGCCATCTAATTCTCAGACGCCACAGTGTTTCCACCGGGTGTCCCCAAGATGTCCTTAAGGGCCACCACACATCTAGTTCAGAATCAGCCAGGGCTTTTGTCTGCCCTGTCTGGAGTCGCCTCCTGTCTGGGAATCTGTCTTCCCTTGACTTTCGCAACCTTGTCACTTGTGAAGGCTCCAGGCCTTTTCATCTGTAGACTGTGCCTCTGCTTTGGGTCAGCCCGATGTTTCCTCTTGATTGGATTCATGTTGTGGCTTTTGGCAGGAGTATCACAGACTGACACTTTGTTCTCAGTCACCCCTCCCAGGTGTGCGACTTCCATTCATTCCGACCATTCATTCCGCCCTGGGGGACGGTAACTTAACTTTGATCACTTGATTGGCATCTGTCAGGGAAATCTACCTCCCACTTTATTTTTGAGACAGCTTCGGGTCTGTCTCAGGCTGACCTTGAACTCAGGCTCCTGACTGTTGGGATTACAGGTGTGCCTCCTCACCCCAGTTTTATCCTTTGTGACTTATATGCACACTGTGTGTGTGTGTGTGTGTGCGTGTGCGCGCACACACACACACATTTTGAGACTCTGTATTCTATTGTTATCTACCTTTCGATTTCTTCATTTATTATTTTTTCCCACAATGGGTTCTTTGAAGCCATTTTGCTATCATCATGTGTCCTGGTGCTCACATCTTCCCTGATGTGGCCTTTGGGAGCTCCTGGGTCCTTCAGTCTGTCCCTCTTTGCTTCCTGGTTTCCCCTTAGCTGTGTGCCTCTATTCATGCTCGCTGTTTGTGTACTTGTGGCCTGTGCCTTTCTTCTTCTCTGCCCTTATCTTGGTCTGCTCTGTCTGCTTCTCTGTGGCTTGTCTCGTCCTCAGTCAGCTTCCTCCTCCTCCCTCTGTCTATTTCTTCCTGTCTCTTTGGCTTGCTGCCCTGATCCAGTCTCCCTTTGCCTGTGCCTCTCTGTTTTGGTGGCACAGAAGTGCCTCCTCAATGTTGTCAGACAGGAGTCTGTTCTGTGGTTGCTTTGTGTGTGGGCCACTCTTCCTCTGGCCGTGGCTCAGAGCTGGGAGGCTCGGGGACAAGGCACATGAGGAGATCTTAGGGAGCAGGATCCCTCTGCACACTGCAAGGTCCACAGCCTGGCCTCAGTGTGTTCCCAGAATGGGTACCCGATGTGTCTGTGCCCTGGATAGTAGTCCTGGCAGAGGAGGGACCAACGTAGACAGAGGGGTTATGTCTGGACAGGGACTTCCTTGAAGAGTACCCAGAGTGAGAATTCTGTATTCTACATGTGGGGTGAGCCGCAGACTGGGCTGTGTCTGTGCAGAGTAGCAGCTAGCAACCTTCCTAATGCTGTGACTCCCTTAATACAGTTCCTCACGTTGTGGTGACCCCCAACCATAAAATTATTCTTGTTGCTACTTCATAACTGTAATTTGGTACTGCTATGAATCGTAATGTAAATATCTGTGCTTTCCAATAGTCTTAGGTGACCCCTGTGAAAGGGTCATTCGACCCTTAAAGGGTCATGACCCCCGTGACCCCTATGACCCCGTGATGGACTGTCAGAGTTTTGTGAGTATGTGTTGGTAGTGCTGTCTGGAGGGGAGACTGAAGCTTGTGTGTGTGTGTGACCTGCTGGCCAAGTATACCTAGGTAAGTCAGATAAAAGAACACTCTGACCTGTTGCTCTTCTCACACAAGAAGTCTAGAATAAGAACTTATTTCAGGGGTTGTGGCTGATACTTGTGAGCCCAGCACCAGGAGGTGGAAACAGGAGGGTGATGTGTTCCAGGGCTACATGGTTCACTGGCTCAAAGAAATAAAATAAAACAAAATATTTAACATATTACATTTTCATGAGACTAGGGATATTGCTTGGCAGGAGAGCATACACTTAGCATACTCAAGGCTCCAAGTTTGACCCCCAGAATATTTTCACAATGTAAAGGACAGAAAATAAAAGTAAAGGCAGAAAGGGCCCCCTGGACTAATGAAAGCGGTAAATTTGACAGAAGACTGGGAAATGGCATGCTGGGATTTGGGCTAGAGAAATTAGAGATATCCACCGTGGAATGGATAAATAAATTTACTGTGCTCACACAACGGAAAACCACATGGCAACGAGGCAGAAGGAATGGCTACTTTACATCGGAACTGGCAAATGTGTCGTGAGGGACTCTGCACACTGTATTATGCCTATGGAGTGTAAGATCCGGTGAAGTAGTTTGTTGACAGGAAAAGTCCCAGCAGTTCAGGACTGTGTATGGTTGGTGTGCAGGAGGGGTGTGTGTTTGGTATTCGGAAGGCATTAAGGGTTTGTGGCTGATGGGGGAGGCGTTAGCTGGGAGGGGTCATGCAGTAGCCTTGGGAATATAGTTACATGAGATGCGCTGGGGCTGGGTGAATTATAGTAAGTAGCCCTCTCTTCAGCGGGTGTGATCTGTAGTGCCAGGGAAGTAAATCCAGGGCCATACACAAGATAACCAAGTGTCAGGCCACTCAGCTTTAGCTCTAACTGATGAAGCTGCGCATTTAAACCTGGTCACTTAGGTGTATTTTAATTTACGCTCTAACACCAAAGTAAGCATGAAGAGAAACATGGGCGGAAGCCATAGAGGGTGATCCCTGGGTAGTAAAGTCTGCAGTCACTGTCTGGGCCCTATCCACTGATCCTGACGGTCTGGGAGCCTGGGCTGAGTGTCCCATCAACTATGCTTGGCCCGTAGGCAAATCTTTCCTACTGGGATACCTGCCTTGATTTGTTTTCTCTGTCCTGCCAGTTTTTGCTTCTCTGTCCTTGCCTCCTTCCCAGGACCCCAGCATTCACATGATTGACCTCTGGGCCTCTCTTCCTACAGCCAGAAGACCTGGATGCCCCCAAGACCCACCACTTCAAGGTGAAGGCCTTCAAAAAGGTGAAGCCCTGTGGCATATGTCGACAGGCCATCACTCGGGAGGGCTGCGTCTGCAAAGGTACATGGCTGAGGGGACCCGGGGCACGTTGTTCTTGTGGGACTGGTCTGGCCTAGGGTAGGTGGGGGTCTCTGCTGGGCACGTGTGACTGTCTCTCATCTGTTGGACAACATCGAACACCTAGATGCCAAGCACACAGAGTGTGTGATGACGTGTGGCAGGTGGCAATTGGCATGATAATGGTGGAGAGTGTATGAAGGCACAGACCTCACATGTGGGCAGCAAGCAGGTAGCATGTGGTGGTATGTGGATGGCAGACAGTTGAGGTGAAAGAGCCTTGTGAAAGGTTTGCGATAGGTGGGTGAAAGTCATGCAGAGGCCGCAGAGATCATGTGTTTAAAAGGTATGATGGTGCTGGGTGGCGGCAGCATACGCCTTTAATCCCAGCATACAGGATGCAGAGGAAGGCAGATCCCTTGATATTCCCTGAGTTCGAGGCCAGCTGGTCTACAGAGTGAGTTCCAGGACAGCCAGGGCCACACAGAGAAACCCTGTCTTGAAAAACAAACAAACAAAAACCCACCCCCAAGAAAGGTATGTTGGTGTGTGAAAGGTGTATAACTAGATTTGGAAAAGTATGTGGAAGGTTTGTGGTGGGAATGTGGGAGGTACAGGAAAAGTGCGTGTTTGCTATGTGGAAGGCGAGTGGAAGGAAATGTGTAGTTGGAATATGGAGAGTGTATGGTTGGTGCATGGATGGCATGTGCCTGGCGGCAGTAGGGCAAATAAGCCAAGCCATTGTCCTCCCTTCTGGGTGGTTTGGGTTGACTTTCAGCAGACCCAAATCACAGTGGGCTAACTGGGCCTTTCTAGTCACTGTCGTCACCTGCTTTTGAAGGGTCTCTCTGTCCTGAAAAGCCTGTCTTATCACAGATCCTGAAGGGCAGTCGGCACCTGTGACTGACAGCTTCATCCCCCAGTTACTCAGCCCTATATCCTGTTTACCACCAGGAGCCCCGTGTGGCTGAGTCTCTGGACTTCTCACTATGGTTCCTACCCAATCAGCTACCTCTCCAATCCAGTCTCCAGTAGCTTCCCTAGATCTGAAGAGTATGCCTCTGGTTACCCCCAAACTCTGGCTTGCAGAGCTCAGCCCTTGTTCTGTCCTGCCCCACACCCAGGGGCTAATGTCAAAGTGTCCTTTATTCGACTGAAGTAATTGTCATCTTGGAGGCTTACTGCCTCCATCTGCTAATCTAGGCCCAGTCTTGGAAGCCTCTAGCCTTCACATGATCTAATCTAGGCCTAGAATGATAATGGTAGAGAGTTACTGCTGAATAAGCTCACCGTTTCTTGCTCTTTCTGAACTCTTGCTGGCTGTTTCAACTAAGCTGTTCTGGCTCAAAACTCCTCTCCAAGTTGACTTGAATCAATCCGGCTTCTCTCAGTTTCTCACTGAATTGTTCTGCTTGGCCTCAAACTAACCCTAGCAATCTGTTCTAATCCTCTGGCTCCTTCTCATTCTCTGTCTCATTCTGTCTTTTCCTTTGTCTAGCTTGTTCTTTCTTCAATCTCTCTCTGTAAAACTCTCCCCGGTGAAAACTGCCTCTGAATTCCACAAACTGAACTACCACAAACTCAGCTCCACCACACTGCCTCTCAACTCACTGGTTCAATGCAACTGACTGAATAGAACTCAGAGGTGTGTATGGCATGTGCTATCATGCCTGGGCCTAAGCTTTTCTTTACCTGGAACTTGATATATAGCAGGCTGGCCTTGAACTCAGATATTTGCTTGCCTCTGTCCCCTGGGATTAAAGGCATGTTTGTATTCCAGCTGGATCACACAGACCTAGAAGGTCTTTGGATGTGATATCTTGCCAGAGGAGCCATGTTATGAATTAAAATTCTTCTACAGGCTGAGCTCTTTCTTCTTGCCCACCCTCTCTGCCTATGTTCCTCCGTACATGTCAAAGGGCCAGGCAAGGCACACTAGAGCCCAGAACAATCGCTAAGGCACTTCCCGAGGACCAAGCACCCTCACGCATGGTCTCATCCAGTATTCATAGCATCTGCAAGATGCTGGTCTTGCAGATACCTCTTTCTAGATGAGGAAGCAGGCTGGTGATGACTATGTCTTGCTGGCTGGCTGAATTAGAGTGGCACTTTCAGGATCTGAACTCTGGAGGGCTTAAGGGAAAGCAGCTGGGTATGGAGTTAGGAATGTTTGGCTAGAGATCTGTGGGGTGTGTGTGTGTGTGTGTGTGTGTGTGTGTGTGTGTATGTCTATATCCAGGAAAGGCCTGAATGACCAAAGGTAGAACATTAAGGTCCATATTCCACCTAGCCTTAATCTAGGCAAGAGGAATGTTTGAAATACTCAAATTAGCCGCATGGGGTCGCCCTTCTACAAGAGATTTAGCAGGGACGTCTCAGGCAATCTGGGGAGAGGGTTTAGATTTTGCATTTGGTTATGTAACAGCCCCCCCCCCCCATCATGCCCTAGACCTTCAGGTCATATAAATTTGTTTCTGTCTCCCCCTGCCCTATGCTTTCTTCCTCTTGGAGTGTTCCCCTCATCTGAGAGGCAGCACCAGGAGCAGGGAGAGAGGGAATCCTAGGAATCCATGCATGGGTCACACTTTGGCTTTCAAATATCTGTGTCTAGCCTCCCTGATGACTTGGTTCAAGGATTTTGGCTGACAGGGCATCTGACTCTCATGCACATAGGTGCCCCCAGTTTCACCCTGAACCTCCCAGAGACAGAGGAGACCATGGGGCCAGAGGAAAGCCTGGAATCCATTCCAGACACTCTATGAGATGTCAGGACCAGGCCACAGAGGACCTAGGGAACAGCCCAGAAAGGAGGAGGATCACTCTGGGCTTGGCCACATGGAAACCTAAGTAGGAGGGCTAGGGTTGCCTGGACTGGGCCAGCAGTGGGAGAAGTAGGAATGGACCAAGTCTGCTGTGGGACCAAGAGATTGTGGTAGCATGAGGTGAACAGAACATTTTATTTGCCTGTCCACATTGTCTTCCATCCATCTTATCCATCTGCCCATCCATTCTATTCTCTGTCCATCTATCTACCCAATCTGTCCATCTATCCATCCATCCATCGACCCACCCATCCAGGGTCACCAGATACGACTCACTCCCTAGCAAAGGGGCATGGTTGCCAAATTCTTGTATGGCTTCTGGGATTTGACTGGGCCAGTGAGGGAATGAAGAAAAGACAGACACAGAGAGACAGAAATAGCTGGGATCCAGTGGGCTTGGCTCTCTGATGGAGAAACTGCCATAGCCTGGAAGCTTAGTGTGTTCGTTAGACAGTTGAACAGTGGGCGGGGTTAGTGTATACATGTGAATGAGGAGGCAAGCATAGCTAATCCTTGTAGGAGCTGTCCCTGCAGCGGAGCAGTCTCCAGGCTGGGAACATCTGGGGGATGGGAGAGAAAGCTCCAGTGGATGTTTTCTGCACACACTGTCAACATTCTCACTCAGGCCACAGGAAGGTTTTGCCATGCCTCTGAGCCTCACGGCAGCGGGAGGTGTGAAAGGCTTTGCCAGTTTCCTGTGCGTCTGAGGCTTTGGTGTCCCTCAATGGCGCACATTCGCTCAAGGCTTGCTTTACTCCCCACGCATGGTGAACTTTTATTCTTTATTCTCTTAGAGTATAAGCTAAGCTTGCTGTGTTTTCTGGGTCCTTTTAGTTTTTGAGCCTTGGCTTCAACACAGTGTGAGTCTGGACCAGTGGCTGGAAGCCATGGGTGGCTGCTGTGTGGACTGTCAAGGTCTGGAACCCAGTCTCCACAGGGCTTTTCTACTGGCACAAGGAAACTCTGGTTCTAGAGAGATGTGCTGTCACTTGCTTCCCCATTGCCTAGCTCTCTAGTCCCGCTGTCCCCCTCCCATCTCCACCCGCAGTTTGCACTTGTGCAGCTGAAGGGGGCAGGAGGGACTCAGAGAACTTTCAGTGGAATCCTAAAACACAAAATAATGGACAAGGCGCTGAGGAATAGTGTTACTGGATGTCCCATGTGACCCTGAACAGGTGACTCCACAGCTTGAGCCTCAGTTTCCTCATCTACACACCAGGAGACTGGACCAAGGACGCTCAATGAAGGAGCTGAGGGAGTGTTTGGACCATTCCCTTTGGGAAGGCTGGGAAGGTCAGCCAGCTCATCCTGTGTAGGCTGCTGCTTCACTCTCTGTGTACCTGTGGGTCCTTCTGATGCTCACAAGCTGAGCCATCTTCAGGACTAGTCATAGTGGAGGTACAGGCACCAAGAGCTACCCAATGTGTGGGAAGACTCACAGTTGTGTGTTGATGGAACCCAGGCATGGGGCTGGTACTGAAGTGTGAGAAAGACTGCCCGGTACAGCAAACACATCCTGGTTAGTCTTCCTTCAGCAGGGATGGAGTGTTCAAGGTGGGTCTTGAGGGATGTGTAGGAGTTCCTTAGTCTAAACAGTGAGTTTCTTACAGGTCCTTGGAGAAAGTGTTCTAAAGGTGTCCCATGAATATTCCTCAGTAGGAGTATGAATAGAGTCAGAGCTGCTCACTAGACTACACAGCCAGCTTGGGAGCCCAAAGGCTACCATGTAGGCTTGGTCTGGAATCAAGGTTTAGGCCACTTCATGTCTCTTGTCTTCCAGTGAGCCCCGAAGCAGGGAGCAGCCACAGGTGGCCTCCTCAGAGTAGCACACACCTGTGGAGACAGCCATCCCTCAGTGAGACAAGCCAACTCAGGTGCCCTCCTCGGCTGGATATGAGGACACCTTGTTCCAGGGATCTCTGCCCTGTGACATCACCGGGGTCTGAGCTTCCCTTCTGCATAGGAGGACATCTTAGAGCTAACAAAGGCAGCCTGCTGAAGGACTTGCCACTGTCTGGCTATGTGACTTGGGGGAGATGCCTTACCTCTCTAGGCCTAGTAGTTTTTGTGAAGGGCTTGGATTTGGCCAGAGGCTTTAAACAGTGTCATAAAGGAGCTGTATGGTTTCTGGAGATGAAGGCAAGAGGCGAAATCCAAGGGAAACCAAGGGCCAGGGCTCTG